GAGTACAAACTCTTAAATCAAATGAAGGTGAATATTTATACATTTAATTTTTAAAAAAAATCTTTTTTGCATTTGTATGGCTTTGACTTATTTATTTCTTTATAATTAACAGATATGACTAATTTTCATTTAGATATACTGTTCGTTATTTCAAGTGCAGTTTTAATCAAAAGTTAAAGTTGTTTTTTTTTTTTTAAATTTATTTTCCATTAATAAAGTAGCAGTTAATGACTCAAAAGAATAAATTCTTATATTCCTCAAAAGTGTGGTATCATTTGCAAGTTTTGCCTGATGTGGGATCATATCTGCTTTCTTTAAAAATAGTCTGCTTTTTTTGAAGAAATAAAAGCAGAACATTGTTTATTAATAGAATCATATAATTATTTATTACTAAAAGTAGAAGATTTATAATTCCATAGGGATTTGAGTTTTTTTATTTTTTACTTCTCACAGTAAATCTTATACTCAATAAACTAGTTCTTCTCAAAAAAAAAAAAAAAAAAAAATCCAGTCTTTCTCATTATATCCTGCTTTGTCTTGGGTTTTAACATTTATGTTATTGCTTCTTTTGGTAGTTTTTAAGTGATAGTTTTTCATTTAATTTGTTAAATAAGTTTCCTTATATTTTATTATTTTCTTTTTTTCCTTATAATTATGTATAAAATTTATTACTTTTTTGATCAGTAATTTTTTTTTATATTAGTTAATTTTATGATTTTAAACTTTAGTTAATTATAATTTAGTTTTATTTAGTTTATTATAATTTTTTCTTAATTAAATTAAATGAATAACTTTAATTAATTTATATTTGTTAATTTTTGAGTGTGTTGTTTTGGTATTTATCATTAAAAATATGTTTTTTTTAATCTCTTAGTTTTATCTTCTTAATTTATATTTTTTCTATTTATTTATCCATCTTATATTTGTGATTATTTTTTTAAATAGAAATTCCTAATGCTAGTATATTCTTAAAACAATGAGCTTCTATTCTTAAAACAATGAGCAATGAGTTTGGCAAATGATTAAATACGATTTAATTTCTATTAAATGCAGATTATTTGTATAATATTTCATTAATTTAATGTTTGTCATTATTTTTTTAAGATGGCTGAGTTGTTGAAAAGTTGTTCATTTACCCTCTATATTTTTTCTCTTTTTTAGAATTTACATATTCGTTGAAAATTTGTGAAGAAGATTCAAATATTCAATTACCCATTATTGACCCAGTAAGCTTCCTAGAATTATTGTTGTATAATGATCCAGTGTGATAAATCATTTTTTATAATATTATGCCGGGTCTTTTTTGTAAATTATACAAAATCATTTCAAGCATAATTTCAAACAGATAGGAAAAATTAGTATAATTTAAGATCTGAAATTGTCTTTGTGTGTTCGGCTGTGGAAGTACATATATATATTCAAGGTTTATTTTATTCTAGCATATATATGTATGTATATATTATGGGTTGAGAAAATAACCCTTATGTATAATTGTCCTAAGTTGAACTTAATCCTCTCATGCATAATTTTTCATTTGAGTTAAATTTTCCTATTCTTAAAACAAAAAGTGTAAAAAAAATGGAAAAATTAATTTGTCTGAATGTAATTTTTTAAAAAAAGCAGCAGTATAAAAACTCATAGTTCAGTACAAAATAATTTAGTTTAAATTCTACAATTATTTTTCTGTTGTCTCCCATAATGTATATTTGTAAGCTGTGTACTAGCATATAAATTTTAGAACTTAACAAATGTGTGACACTATTTCTAATTATGTTGAGTTAAGGATATTAAATCTATTAAAATTAAAAAAAAAAAATACTTAATCAAAAAATACTTTTCCAAACACATTTAGCCAACCGAATAGTGGTAAAATATTTCTTACATCCCCAACATGAATTTAGTAATTTTTTTATCTTAATGCTTTTATGTATTTTAGTAATATTTTTTAGTGAATTTATTTATTAATTATTATTATTTTTTTGCTTTTAGAACTCATCAGTTGTTTTCGTAAAGTCACATGAAGAAGAGGGCCCAAGGATATTTGCAATAAAGAGAAACATTAAAGATAAAAGGAATGAAACATGACAGAATTTGTATTCATTTGTGTTGGT